GGCTCCTCAGAAGTTCTGTGTCTTAGAACATGTTATCTTTAATTCACAATTTTCAGTCTGCAAAGCAGGAGCAGTACCAGAACCCACAGGGTTGTTTAGAGATTAAATATACTCACAAATGATGTTAAGTATTATGTATTATGTTAAGTATTATGTATTCCAGCTCAGGAAGAACAGAGATGACATTTGACATTTTGATGTTTCTCCTATAAATAAATCCATAAATAAATGATGTAGCATAAAAGAATTCATGTTGATTCTTGCCAGGACAAGCTACACAATATCCAAGGCTCCCTGTACCATGGAAACACAGATTTCCTCATTCAAAAGTAATTAAGGATTTCAAGATGGTGACAACAAAGCCTTACGCCAAGAGTGGGCCTCTTCTGAGCAGCTGGTCTTATACAGCTGCAGAGAGTACAGACCTTGAGGATGACTTTCTCACACCATTTTTACTGAAAGAAGAGAGCATGGAAACAGATCACCTCTGAGTAGGAAGAGAGTGAGGATGCTAAGGGTTGCCTCCTAGAGCAAATTCGAAGAGAGCAAGCTCCATTTTCTTCCCCTGCTGGGAGTAAGGATAAGAAAATGGACCCATTCCCAGGAGATGCCACTTCCAATTGGTTTTAAGGAGGTGTAGAAGAAAGAATAACTTCTTTTTTTTCTTCTAATTTGGATGGGAAGCTTTCTGGAGATGGAAGACAAATGACAGAATGGAAAGGAATTTTCAGTGGAATAACATTATAAATAGCTCTGAAGGCATAACAAAGTGAAGCCAATAAAAATGGATGCATTGCACAGCTCGAGATTCCACCAAGATTCTCTTTCAACAATACGCTTTATTAATAAATCACTTTGCTTTGCTCCATTAAAATCATAAAGCTAAGCTATTTGTGCTTGGGTTCATGTCATTTTTGTCCTCACTCGAGGAGCTCACTTTAGCAATGAAGAATTATTTTGATCTAAGAGGTTTAAAAATACATTTTTGAAAATTTAATTCTCATAAATTGAATGGAAAGAAATTTTGTTTAGACTCAGATATGGATTATTTTCTATTTCCACAATATAGAGAAAGATCCAAATAATTCCCCAACCTCCAGAAGCCTCAAACATAGAGACGAAAACCTCCATTTGCTGCTCAGTGTGATCTAAACTATTTAGTTGGTGACAGTGGTGTCCCAGTACAAACTCCAGGACTAGAAGGTAGACTGTGCCTTCTTCATTTTTCTTTGGGTAACAATTTGGCCTTGACTTTAAGCATCCCCAGTTACAAAGTTCAATGCTCCTTAATCAGTCTGAACACTAAACACACATTCATTTAAAGTCTAAAATATTAAAAGCAGTAAGCTACATGGCTGGGATGTGTTTACTTTTGCTTCCCAAATATTAGAAAGAATAAAAATAGATACAGGAAAGAGCAAACACATAGAGTTCTGAAAGGTAGTTTGAAGCAGGGCTCACACCAACGGTCAAGCAAGAACTCTTGGGAAGGGTTAGGGGTGGGGACTGTACGTTGACAGAGTACAAATTGTCAAACTTTACTTTTGACATACTGAGAAAATTTTATCTCTCAAGGCGGCAGGGCCTAGAACCACGATAAAGTGCCTGTGTTTGCAAAGTTCATGCTCCATTACCACACTCGATGTGTGTTTCCCCATGTGGAGGTTCCCTCTTGAAGACTCATGTTCCCAGATAAGTCATACTCAGTGCTTCCAGGATGCACTTGGGCCGGTTAGAAATAAAAATTTGCTGCATTTTCAGTGGTCACCTCCAGGTTCTAGAAGTTCTCTGTGTCATATATATCCCAAGAGAAATAACTAAACTTTTTTTCTAATAGAACCTTGAAGGTGAAGCTTAAACAGTGCAGGAGGGTAGATCCTATTCATCCCTTTCCTCTGGTAACCTACCACAATCTGTCTTCAAAGAGCTACTGTAGGATTCTGCTCATCAGAAGGGTCATGAAAACATCAAATACTAGGGTCTTAGAATTCATACTTAAAACCTGGTGTAATGGCTCAGTTTGGGGACCACACCACTCTGAACAATTCTACTCACAACATAGATGAGAAATAGTCCTGCATCATCTGTGCAAACCCTTTCCTGTAGTACTTATCCTCAGAAGGCTTTACATCAGGCTGGAGCATCTACACACAGAACTCTTTTACCTGTACTTTTGCTTCCTCTGATTTCTGTACTAGTTACTTTTCTTGTTGCTGTGGTAATGTTCCTGAAAAAAATGAACCTAAGGAAGAAAGGGTTTAATAGTCCATCTTGGAAGGAGCAGCACAGGCAGCTTGTCACATTGCCTCCACAGTCAGGAAGCAGAGAGTGATAAATTCTACTGCCCAGCTTCCTTTCTCCTTTTTATTCAGTCCAGAATCCCAGCCCATGGAATGGTACCACCCACATTTATGGTGGGTCTACCCACCTCAATTAACCTAATCTAGGAAATCCCTCACAGACATGACCAAAGGTTTGTTTCCACAATGATTTTAAATCCCATCAAGTTGGCAGTCAAGATTGTCAATGATCATGCCTGGTCATTGGAGGTCTGAAGGCATTAAATAAAAAATTCTAGAAATACATGCTTCACAAGTTTAAATTTACAGGCCAAATGTATATATGATAAAATTTTTGGCTTTCCCAGTCAAAGTGTGAGTCATCCCTTTGCCTAGTGTGTCCACACTGTATATGCTACCTGCCCCTTAGTCACTTGGTAGCCATCTCAGCTATCAGATGGACCATAGCAGCATGGCAAAAATTTTGTTCAAGATTTTTAATTGAAGTTGAGTTCATTGTTTCAACTGATACATGAGAACATAGAAGTTGTGTACTATGTGAGATAAAAAAATTGTTACTATGTGATATTTGAATTCATGTATATAGTGTATACTATTTCCACTGGGATAAACATATTCACCTGCTGGAACATTTATCATTTCCTTCAGATGAAGCATTCAAAATCCTTTTTGATATGTACAATGTGTTATCATTATAACTATCCTACTGAACAGTGGCACATCAGGACCTCTTGCTCAAATCTAAACACACAAGTAGTGTTTACTTAGCAACGTAATATATCACCGAGCTAACACAATCTGCCCCTCTTTCCTATATCATAAAAACCTTGCATCATCTCATTTCATCCTCAGAACTGTGAGCACAGCACAAGATATTTTGCCATTTATGACATTGCATTCTAATTGTTCTTGAGTTGTATCCATTTATGTTCACCTGCCACTGTGCCTAGCTTACAAGTTAAACTTTATCATGGTATTCATGTATGGGGAAAAATAGTATGTATAATGCTTGGTACAGTGTATGACTTCAGAGGACCACTGGGCACCTCAGAGCATCTCTCCTTCAAGTTAGGGAAAACTCTTTGTTGGTTATATTAGAACAGACATCAACAACCTATCAGCCACAGGTCAAACCTGACCTGCATCCTATTTGTATGAATAAAGCTTTATTAGAACACAGCCACATCTGTTTTTATAGTGTCTTGTTTTCACTCTATAAGTCAGATACAAATAGTTGCTTCAGAGGGAATATAACTGACAAAGTCTGAAATATTTGTTCCTTGACCCTTTACAGAAAGTTTTGAACTTCAAGTTTAGAAGATAATAAAAGCTAATATTTCTGAGGACTTATGGGATGCTTGAAATTAGAGCCAGTGTAGTAGATGACTCCTCTTAGGAAATTCCCCCAGCAGTTCTGGGGACCAGGTAGCTTTTAATCTTCATTTTCTTCAACTAAGGAAACTACCAAAAAGTTACAGAATGCATCAGTGTACCCAGCCAGTGAAGAGCTAAGCTCGAATGGACCACACAAGGCTTTATCCGTTCCCTGTCTCGGTTGGAAGAGAAGCCCCAACTCTCATTGTATCTTTCAAGGTTACTTTTTGTCAGGAACAGTGTCATAGGAACTAGAAAAATAACTAATACAGAAATCACAGGAAGCAAAAGTACAGGTAAGAGAGTTCTATGTGGGGCTGAAGAAATGGCTTAGTGGTTAAGAGCACTGACTGTCTTTGCAGAGGACCCAGGTTGATTCCCAGTACCTACATGGCAGCTAACCACCATCCTAACTCCAGGTCCAGGGGACCGTCTTCTGACCTCTGCAGGAATTTCACGCCACAGGTGCACTTATATATGTGCAGGCATACACTCATTCTCATAAAATAAAAATAATAAATAAAATAATTTTTAAAAGAGATTTCTATGTATAGGATGCTCCTGCTTGGCTCAAAGCCTCTGAGGATGAGAAACAATCACAGGGAGGATATATGTTTATGAAGCAGGGCTATCTCTCATCTGTGCTGTGAGCAAAATTGTTCAGAATGGAGTAGTCTCCAAACTGAGCCATTACAGCAGGTTTTAAAAGTATGAATTTCGGGGACTGAAGAGATGGCTCAGCACTTAAGAGCACTGACTGCTCTTGTAGGGGACCCAGGTTCAATTCCCAGTACCGACATGGCAGCTAACAACTGTCTGTATAACTCCACTTCCAGGGGATCCGATGCCTTCTTCTGACCTCCACACGACACAGGTGTACCTGCCTACATGCAGGCCATATACTCATACACATAAAATGAAAATAATAAATAAAAGCAAAATTTTAAAAAAATAAACAAAGTATGAATTCTAGGACCCTAAGACTTGATGTTTTCATGACTCTTTTGATGGGCAGAATCCTGCTGTAGGTATTTGGAAACAGATCACAGCAGGCTACCAGAGGACAGAGGTGAATAGGATCTACCCTTCTATATCAAACTTCACCTTCAAGAATATTAGAAAAAAAAAAAAAGCTTTGTTACTTCTCTTGGGATACATGAAACAGGGAACATGTAGAGTCGGGAGGTGGCCAGGAGGGCATCACTTAGCTGAATATTCTTTAATCTGAAGGAGAAGAAGGTTTGGGCTAGATTCTAGCCCAGCCATTACTGAGATTTCAAACACTGACCTTTCCAACCAATCTTCTCTACTCTCCTTTACCCTTAGGGAGGATCCACTTATCCTGTAGCTGTCAAGTACATTTTCCTCTTCACAATCTAATGGCCACCAGACATCACAGTGGCCCATCAAACTGTAAGTTATGCACAAAACCTACTCATGTTCAATATTCAGGGCTACATTTGCTTTTGAGTCAATAAAAAGGAAACAATTTATTATGAGAACCTCATATGAACTTGGTACATTAAAATAGTGTTTTCTAGAAAGTGATGTGTAATTCCAACTCTGCTTGCAGCTGGAAATCCTTAGGAAAGTACAAAGTTGTCTGCCTAGCACTGGGTATTCTTTCTAGAGATCAAAATTTCTTAAGTATCAGTTTTTTCATCTGTAAAATTAGAGATGGCGCCAGGCGTGGTGGCACACGCCTTTAATCCTAGCACTTGGGAGGCAGAGGCAGGTGGATCTTTGTGAGTTTGAGGCCAGCCTGGTCTACATAGTGAGTTCTAGGCCAGCTGGGGCCACAGGGAGACCCTGTCTCAAAAAGACAAAAAAGAAAATTAGAGATGGCATTACCTACTTTGAAGAATTACTGTGGAGTTCAACTTTTAAAATGTAGTAAACTGAAATCAGAGTATGTGTTTCATGGCCAGCCATGGTGGTACTCATCAGTAATCCCAATATTCAGAAGGTAGAAACAGGTAGATGATGAGTTCAAAGCCAGACTTCAGTACACAGTAAGATCCTTTTTTCTGAAAAATGTACTCTGTTTTTTAATTGTGCGTAATTAACATGTAGCTTTTCTTTGGTCCCAGCACACTCAGTCATCTCGAGGTCAGACAGATCTTCCTGGGGAAGAATTCTGAAACCACCCTGTGCCTGTCTGTCATCCTTGGACTTCCAGGCAGGTTAAACATAGGGATGAATCTAGAACAGCAGCCAAGACCACAAATATCAGTGAGTGCTCTGGTTAGAAGGGGATGCTTCAATAAAAGTTGCAAATTTTCAAAGTATAGTTTTTTTTGGGGGGGAGGGGCTTTTTGAGACAGGGTCTCTAGAAGGGGATGCTTCAATAAAAGTTGCAAATTTTCAAAGTATAGTTTTTTTGGGGGGGGAGGGGCTTTTTGAGACAGGGTCTCCCTATAGTCTTAGCTGGCCTGGAACCTGGAACTCACTATGTAGACTAGGCTGGCCTTGAACTCACAGAGCTCCACCTGCCTCTGCCTCCCAATATTACCTGCATGTATGTGAGTGCACCCGTGTCATGCAATGCTGTGGAGGTTAGAAGAGAGCTTCAGATTCCCCTGGAACTGGAGTTAAGGATAGTTCGTAGCTGCCATGTGGGTGCTGGGAACTGAACCCAAGTCCTCTGCAAGAGCAGTCAGTGCTCTTAACCGCTGAGCCATCTCTCCAGCTCTCCGAAGTATCGTTTTAATTCTCAAAAATATCTAGGGATCAGCTTGCTCTCCTGGTTAATACCAGTAGAACTCGGTGTCTGTGAGAGTTCTAGCCACAAAATTATATGGGGAGAGGGAGAATGAATATGCATGAATTACAATAAATATGAATATGTGAAATAAGTCATACAAACAAAAAATATTTTGGAAGCTTTTATTACCTGACTAAAAGTAGCAAGGCCCAAGATAGAAAAGGGACAAGATATGGTTTTCTGCTTCCAACCTTTTTCAACAAGGCAAAAGCCAGATATATTAGCAAATCTATCAAGTAGCAACAGGTGTTCCTTGTCCCTGAGGAAGCCTGGGTAAGGTCAGTATATGATGGGAAACGTCAGTGATGCTGCCCCCACTGGAAGATGATTTATATTTCTTAAAGCCACATGGAGAGACTCTTGCAGGCTTTGGAAAGTTCACACAAGGAGGTGCACTCTGGGCTGGGATCCACAGCATGGATAGTATCCTCCTCCCTGGTAGAGAGAAAGGAAACTACATCCTCACCAACACTGAGAAGCAGGGAGGAAGCAGCCAGGTTGAGGGAAGGTTACATCAGTAAGTTCAGCCTTGACAGGAGAGAGTCTAAATGAGATTGGTATCAGAAGGAAAACTCTAAGATAGGCTGAGAGCTTGTCACCCATGGTCGTGAATGACCAGCTGAGGACAGCCTTTATCCTGAGTGTTAAATCAACTCGTACATTTGACAGTCCTTTGAGAGGCAGACGGTGCTGGTGTGGATGCCTCTCTCCTTCCCATTCTGCCTTGTTTCTTTCTAAGAAATCCATGCAGATTTGATTGGGTGTCAGTGCATCCTATGCCTGCATCCTCTAGCTATACCATTTACCTGTTGCTGATGTGTTATTTGTGTGAGCATTTCGTGCTGAGGCCAAAAGTGATCAGACTGAGAGGGTATGGCAGTGGAGGCTTTAATCCAAGAACTTGGGAGACAGAGACAAAAAGTTCCTAAGTTCAAGGCCAGTGATGAATCTTAGCCTTGCAAATCCTTGGGGAGGGGGGTCTGCAGAAGTCCTGTGTTTTCCCCTAGGTTTACCTCCAGTGGCCACTTGGCATTATGCTGGAGCAGACCTCTGCCTTTTTGCTTGAGTGTGTGAAGTAACTGAATGTTCGATGATCCTGATGTACAGTGACTATGAGCCTATTAGAACCACACATATTTTGGCACACTCAAGCACAGGAGGTACCCAGGACTGGTGCGACAGGCCCTCCTTTCCTGCAGCAGCAGGAAGTACAGCCCACACTAGCAAATGGTTTTGCACGGAACGTATAAACCAAAAGTCTACATTTTTACAAGCCAAAGGTATTTGGTGTTCCACAGAGGAGGATCCTGTGGGTTGGCATTTGGTAGGAAAAGTATCACCATTTTGGGGTATTTGTGAATGTTGGTATGTGTGTTGGGGGGTTACACATGTGTGCATATGGCCATGGAGGCCAGAAGACAACCTTAGATGCTGTTTTTCCAGGAGCCATCTACCTTGTTTTATGAGACAGAGTTTTTTGTGTATGTGACAAGTGGCCCAGAGCTCCCCAAGTAGGCTAGGCTGGTTCACCAGAAAGCCCCTGAGAGTAGCCCCTCTCTACCTCTCCAGCTCTGGGATTATAAGCACATGCCACCATGCCTAACTTTTTTATGTAGGTCTATGGGGGATTAGAATCAGGCCTCATGCTCACAAAGCAAGCGCTCTCTCAAATGAGCTATCTCTCCAGTTCTTTTGTATGTCAACACAGAGATAAGAGAATGCAGCCAGATACAGAGGGTAAGGATGGAAAAAATAGCATGGGCAAGGTTTGGAGCCAGGAAATGGCATGATCTATTCAGTTAATTAGGAGAATATAAATAACTCATGATAGCGCTGTTTACAACACTGGAAAAATGTGTAGCAGTAGGAAATTAGATTAAATGATTATCTGTAGATCTATATGTAGAATAGTCTATAAGACAGAGGATTATGAGACGTTAAAGTATGTCTTCTGCATCTACACTTAGCCTAAGGCCTTCCCACTCTCCAGGAGTAGGTTAAATTCCACAAACACCCACCGTTCCCTGAACTTCTCTTTTATAGCACTCAATTTATTTTTTTACATGATTGTTTATGATGTGGTTGAACGATGTCTGTGTCTCCCCATTAGTCTGTGTGTATTGTGAGAGAGGAACACAGACCTTCAGGCTAAATCATCCTATTCTCATCCTCTTCCCAAGTGTCTGCTGTATAATGGCTACTTACTTAAATTTGTTTGGACTTGTTGCACACATGGAGGAACAAAACAATTCATGAGTCTCATGACATGCCAAGTGAAAACAATGAGCCATTACAGATAACCTCGAGTTAGGAGGACAGCTCTAATCCACTGGTAGTATCTTTTCAGGAGTCTAAGCTCTTATTTAGGTATAGGAAGCCTAGAAGGAGGCATACCTGCTGTGAGAACCCCTAACCAGCTCTGTGTGCATGAAATAAGATGGGTGTCTATACCATGTGGATGAGAGTAGGATGCAAAAGTGACTCTTTGGAATATTACTGTGTAGGTGCAGTGATAATCCTTGGGTGGTTTTAGCCTTCTTTACATTTTCTTGAATACTTGAATCTTCTGTGTATGTCTATGACCAGTGGGAAATGGGCCATTTTCGTTTTAGAGAGTTAGGGGCTACAGCTCACCTCCTTTGACACTCCTCTCACTGATAGCTAATCTTGGTTGTCATTTTGACACACTGGGAAGAGAGAACTTCAACTGAGGAATTTCCTTCATCATATTGGTCTTTGGGCATGTCTGTGGGATATTTTCTTGATTGGTAATTGAAGTAAGAGAGCCAGTCCACTTTGAGTAGTACCATCCATAGGCAGGAAGGCCTGGGCTATGTAGGAAAGGTAGCTGAGCAAGCCATAGAGAGCAAGCCAATAAGCAGCCTTCCTCCATGGTTTCTGTTCCAGGTCCTTGCCTTGAGTTCCTGCTTTGGCTTCCCTTCTTGATGGACTGTAACTTGTAAGATGAAATAAACCCTTTCCTCCCCAAGTTGCTTTTGGTCAGAGTGTTTGCCCCAGCAATAGGAAACCAAAGTACAACAGCCGGCTCCTCTTCTCATTCTCCCCAGACCCTATCCCTTTTGGAAGGACTTTGGTAGCCCAAGAGGCATAAGAACCTACTCACCTCACCCTCAGTTCTTCAGGCTTTTGGCTACAATGGGCTCTTTACCACTTCTCCTAGGAAATGAAAGGACTGCACCCAGGCATAGTACTGGGGACAGCCACCCCATGAGTACAGTGACACCTGCATGAATACAGTAACAACTGCAGCCTTTCATCCACTGATGACTCCGGGATGTCTCCAGTCTGCTGTGGCAGAAAGAATGAAGCAGAAAACCCTGCATAGCATAGCAGCTGAGGTGCAGAGGGACACCGAGAGCCAAGAGGCTGGAAGAAATGAAAGGGTAGCTGACATTCCACTCAACCGAAGGCATCTTTATTCTAAGGAGATAATAACTATCTAGGAAATAGCTATCTACTGACTACTCATTTCTTTTGTTACCACCAGTCCATCAGAGGGAGAATGCAGTACACGTTGTCACCTAGAATATTGCAGATTGCTCCTTCATGGCCTTGGAAGAAATTCAGAGTACCTATCAGGTCTCAGTGTTGCTTGTTCTATTACTCAGGATTCTCCCAGGGAAAGCCATCAGTAGATCAGAAACACAGACACACAGATACAGACACACATCTATATCCTTGTTTAGTGCTTGATTATGACATATACAAGGCATTTTATTATAAACTGGATCATGTGACTGTGGAGCAGTTGATGAGCAAGGAAAAATATCAGGAAAGTGCGTAGTGCAATTTAGTCCAAGACCAAAGTCCTAGTACCCAGAAGGAATGGTGTTAGCAGGCAGGAAAGTGTGTGATTCAGCTTTAGTAGAAACACAGTCACCTTTCCTCTGCTTCTTGGTTCTATTCAGGCCTTCCAAAGATAGATTACATGATCATCCGGGGGCGGGGGGAGAGCGGGGAGAGAGGGGGGAGAGAGGGAAGAGGGGGGAGAGAGGAGGGAGAGAGGGGAGAGAAGGGGGAGAGAGAAACTCTTCAGTGACTTGCTCCTTTTTCCTCTTGAATTGTGTCCATGTGCACTCCCACATTCTGAGCAGGTATTCCCTATATTACTCCTCTCTGGAAATGCCCCTACAGACACACCAAGAGGTGTGCTTCAGGAACCTCCTAGGATCTCTCAGTGCATTCTTATTGACAGTTGAGATTGACAGTGACGTGCTGGCCGAGGGGACAAACTTGCAGCTGTAAGATGAATGAGTTCTGGGGACCTAATGTTTGGATTGGGACTATGGTGATGATGTGATATATGCTTGAAATCTGCTAAGAGGGCAGATGTTAAGTATACTCATGGAGCTACACACTGCAGTAACTCTGAAGTGATGGATATGGCAATTAGTTTGCTTTGGGTAATCTTTTGTGATATATATATCAGAATATCATGTTGTATACA